GCTATAGCTATATCTGAACTGATTTCGATCAAATTTGGCATACGTATTTTCAGGCCTAATTCAGTTGTGTGTGCAAAATTCCATACTATTCGGACTGATATTACACGCTTGGTGTACAATAAAAAGCAAATCGGACGAAGTTATATATGGGAGCTATATCCAAATCTGAACCGATCTCGATAAAATATAGCAAATGTATTTCTGAGCTGTATTTGATATATTTCCCCAAATATTGTTGTTACAGAGTACATATTATGGCTCTGGGAAACAAATATAACAAATCGGATGAACAATATATATGGGAGCTATAGCTATATCTGAACCGATCTTCACCAAATTTGACATACTAGCATCTAGACTCAATTCGGTCGTAAGTGCCAAATTCCATCCGATTTGGACAAATATTAGACGTTTGGTGCACAATAAAAGGTAAATCGGACGAAGTTATATATATGGGAGCTATATCCAAATCTGAACCGATCTTGATAAAATTTGACAGAGATATTTCTGAGCTATATTTGATATATTTCCCCAAATATTGTTGTTACAGAGTGCATATTACGGCTGCGGAGGACAAAAATAACAAATCGGATGAACAATATATATTGGGAGCTAAAGCTATATCTGAACCGATCTTCACCAAATTTGACATACTAGCTTCTAGACTCAATTCGGTCGTAAGTGCCAGATTCCATTCCATTCGGACAAATATTAGACGTTTGGTGCACAATAAAAGGTAAATCGGACGAAGTTATATGTGAGAGCTATATCCAAATCTGAACCGATCTTGATAAAATTTGGTAGAGATATTTCTGAGCTGTATTTGATATATTTCCCCCCAAATATTGTTGATACAGAGTGCATATTACGGCCGCGGAGGACTAAAATAACAAATCGGATGAACAATATATATGGGAGCTATAGCTATATCTGAACCGATCTTCACCAAATTTGACATACTAGCTTCTAAACTCAATTCGGTCGTAAGTGCCAAATTTCATCCCATTTGGGCAAATATTAGATGTTTGGTGCACAATAACAGGTAAATCGGACGAAGTTACATATATGGGAACTATATCCAAATCTGAACCGATCTCGATAAAATTTAGCAAATGTATTTCTCAGGTATATTTGATATATTTCCTCAAATATTGTTGTTACAGAGTGCATATTACGGCTGCGGAGGACAAAAATAACAAATCGGATGAACAAAATATATATGGGAGCTATAGCTATATCTGAACCGATTTCGATCAAATTTGGCATACTTATTTTCCGGCCTAATTTGGTTGTATGTACAAAATTCCATACTATTCGGGCTGATAGTACACGTTTAGTGTACAAAAAAAAGCAAATCCGACAAAGATATATATGGGAGCTACATCTAAATGTTGACCGATTATCTCAAATTTCAATAGGGTTCGTCCTTGAGCTAAACAAATGATTTGTGCAAAATTTCATCTGTAACGGATAATAAATGCGAACTGTACTTTGTTCACAAAAATACATTGACAGACGGACAGACGAACGGACATGCATAAATCGACTCAGAATGTGATTCCATGCAGATCATCAAAAGGAACTATGGGTCTATCTCGTTTCCTTTTGTCTGTTACAAACAAATGCACAAAGGCATAATACCCTGACCACCTTGTGGTGTAGGGTATTAAAATGGCGCCCAATGCAGGTATTTACTTCTCCAATTCATTTTTGCAGGTTTGAATAATATATATATATATATATATATATATATATATATATATATATATATATATATATATATATATATATATATATATATATATATATATATATATATATATTGTAAAATCTAATGCCGTCCAAAGCAGACTTTTCATTAACGGTTTCAATGTTGTACTTGAGTGGCGCCCAATGTGGGGCGTCTTTGATAGGGGCTTAATTTTGAGATTGGCGGCCAACGCAAGTCTTTTTCTTATCATATTAGATTTTGCAGGTTAGAATAAAAATATATATTTTTTTTAAAGAGAATAATCCAAATGGCGTCCAACGCAAAGATTTTTCATTAAAGTATTCATTTTAATCGATGTTGTATTTGAATGGCGCCCAATGTGGGCGACTTGGTTGCTTATCAAATTCGTTTTTGAAGGTTTGAAATAATATATATTTTTTAAAAGGGAATAATCCAAAATAGAGCCATACGCAAAGAGATTTTATTATAGTATTCAATTCATTCGATGTTATATTTGAGTGGCGCCCAATGAAGGGCGACATTAATTAGCTTATAAAGCTTATTTTGAAGGTTTGAAAAAATATACATTTTTTTAGAAAGGGAATAATTCAAATGGCGCCCAACGCAAGGAATTTTCATTATCGGCTTCATTTCGCTCGATGTAGTATGTGAGCGGCGCCCAATGTGGGGGCGACATTGATTAGCTAATCAAATATTTTTTGAAGGTTTAAAAAATATATATTTCAGAAAAGGGAATAATTCTAATGGCACCCTACGCAAAGACTTTTCATTATCGGTTAAATTTCTTTCGATGTTGTATTTGAGTGGCGCCCAATGTGGGGGTGACATTGATTAGCTTATCAAATTCATTTTTAAAGGTTTGAAAAAAATATATATTTCTTAAAAAGAAGTAATTCAAACGCAAAGACTTTTCTTTATAGTTTTAAGTTCATTCGATGTTATATTTGAGTGGCGCCCAATGTGGGACAACATTGATTACCTTTTTAAATTCGTTATATTGTATGTCAGTGGCGCCCAATGTGAGGCGAAATGGTTTATATTATCAAATTCGTTTTTGAAAAATATATATATTTCAGAAAAGGGAATAATTCAAATGGCGCCCAACGCAAAGAGTTTTCGTTATAGTATTAATTTTATCCGATATTATATTTTGAGTGGCGCCCAATGTGGGACAACATTGATTACCTTTTTAAATTCGTTTTTAAAGATTTGAAAAATATATATATGTTTTTTAAAAGGGAATAATCCAAAATAGAGCCATACGCAAAGAGATTTTATTATAGTATTCAATTCATTCGATGTTATATTTGAGTGGCGCCCAATGAAGGGCGACATTGCCTATCTTATAAAGCTCGTTTTTGAAGGCTTGAATAAAATAAATATTTTTTAAAACGGAATAATTCTAATGGCACCCTTCGCAAAGAGATTTTATTATAGTATTCATTTTTTTCGATTTTGTACGTTAGTGGCGCCCAATGTGGAGCGACATTGATTAGGGGTAACAATTGAGGTATTACGTTCTTTTGTGGAAATTTAGCACACATAAGCATAATTTTTATACCCTCCAGCCATATGGCTAGAGAGGGTATATATCATTTCATACGGCCAAAACGTGCCTCATCGAAATAACGGTTTTAGACTCTAGGTCTCTTTGGACCATATCCGTTTCAGGACATTTGTAGTCGATCTAGCGATTTCCGTTCGTCCGACTGTCTGACTGGTGCGCACCATAACTCTCGAAGAGAGTATTCCATTTGATCCAAACGTGGTACATTGTAATAATATCATCAACTCAAGATCTGTTATAAAACTGGTAGAGATCGGACCACTCCTTCTGGTACCTTCCCCACAAAGGGTAGAAGTTTTGAATAACAAAAAAGGTTATAAAAACCGAAATAAGCATCTGGTTCTTTTCATATTTCACACATCACAATATTTTTTATAACCGAAAGTCTGATCTGAAAAAGGAATATTTCGGCCCACTCCTTCTAGTACCTCCCCCACAAAGGGTCGAAATTGTGAATAATCAAAATGATCATAAACTCCGAAATGAGAATCCTCTTCTCTTCAAATATCATTAGAGCAATATTATTAGACCAAGGTGTCTTGTGTAGATGGGACACATCGGTCCCCACCTTCTGACACAACGGGTCAAAATTTTGACTACCCATGAAACTCATAAAAAGCAAAATTAACATTCGATTTCATTCAGACTTGGTACATCTCAATATTTCCATTAACACAATATCTGTTATAAAAATGTTAGATATCGGACCATTCCTTCTGGTACCTTCCACAAAGAGTCAACATTTTGAATAATCAAAACGATCATAAAATCCGCTTCTCAACAAATTTCACACATGTCATTATTTTTACTAACACAAGATCTACTGTGGACTATATCGCCGCACTCCTTTTGGTAAAATATCAAATGGCGCCCAACGCAAGACTTTACCACATTAGCATAATTTTTTAAATATTAACTGCAAAATGACGCTCAACGCAGGACTCTACCTTATTAAATAATTTTTTGCTGGTTTGAAAGGTAAATTTTTATTCTCGGAAGAAAACCACTCTAATGGCGTCCAATCGCAAAGGCTATTAATTATGGATATCATATTCTTCAAAGTTTCAGTGGCGCCCAATGTGGGACGAGCTTAATTAAATGTAAAAAATGGAAGTCTCAGATGCCTATTTGTTAAATCTTCAAATGTTAGGTCTCTCATTAGAGTTCTCAATGGGATAAAGGTCAATATTTAAATGTAACCTAACATAGATGCAACACAATTTTTCAAATGGCGCCCAACGTAAGTCTTCGCCACATCAGTTTATTTTTTAACCAGATTCAAACATAAATTTCATTCTCAAACAGCAACAACTAAATAGTTATGTAATTTTTTTTATAATTTTCATTCATTCCAAAAAAAAAAAAAAAAATGGCGCCCAACGTTAAACTCAACTTGATGCAAATATATAAATATAGCCTTAATTGGAGTTGTTACAGAAAATGTTAATGACGCCGATCTTCATTTTTTTTAGATGTTTGCAATGGAGACCATTCAATTTGAATTAATTTTAATGGCGCCCAACGCAAAAGCTTTAACAAAACACAAAATATTAGCCATTCCAACCAATGTATGTGTGTTATATATTTCGAAAACATCATATAAAAACTCTATTGGCGCCCAAAGTGAGTCCCATCCTAATATCCCCGTTTTTTTCCTATTCCCTCCAATAAAAAATATTTAAATTTAAAATTTCTACTTACTTTCACCCGTATTGGACGGTTCCAGTGTCCACAACTGCTTCTTCTTCAAACTGGCACCGTTCGCATTCAGCTTATAGCCGAAAGTCTCCGCCGTCATATAACGATGCTGGCCATTGATCAGACCAATGGTCCACCAACCCTTCTGTTGGTTCTGTGATATGATATCGCCATTTGTATGATTCAATTCATAGCCTTGGCCGTTCATGGTGCTGTTGATGGAGTTGATGATCGGTGAGGGAGCAATGGTGACGACTTTTATTCGATTACTTGCGATGCGATAAAAGGTATGGACAGACGATGCTGTGCTGTAGGTGCGCGCGAGTTTTGGCGAATTTATTTGCAATTCAAGCTAAAAATAGAAGAAAAAAGGAAAATAAATTAGTTAATATTTTAGCAATTCATTCAGTAAATATTCTAAATATTAAAAGATATTTGCAAAAAAAAAAAAAACATAAAAAAATTAAATCTATTTCTTATTTTCAATAACAGAGAGCCAAACCAAAGAATTTGTTAATATATTCATTTCAACTTGGTATATTTTAATTCCATTTTTAAATATGATTTTATTGGCTGCGAACCGCACTACAAAATAGCATTTCAGTGGTCATATATTATTAATGGCATTAATTCTGGTCACTTCCCACATATACAGAGTGAGATACAAAAAAAAAAAAAAACTGCAAGAAAGTCAAACGTCATAATTTTTACAATTTTTTTTTTAATTTTATTGAATGAAACAAAAATAGTCGGAAATAGCCTCCAATTTTAGAATGTGTTTAGTTTTGTTCGAATTGGTCACCTTTGGCACGAATTATGGCCTTCAAACGGCCAATGAAATCTACACACGCTGCCCGAATGTTGCTCAGCGAAATTTTGGCCCATTCCCGGCGAAGCGCTTGCTTGAGGTGATGGAGACTTTGGTATTTTTTAGTATAAAAAATATGTAAAAAATCCACGTTTATATCCTGGAAAGTCCTTTTGAAAAAAAAAATCTTTACAAAATCCACGTTTATATCCTGGAAGGTCCTTTTGAAAAATTAATCTTTACAAAATCCACGTTTATATCCTGGAAGGTCCTTTTGAAAAAATAATCTTTACAAAATCCACGTTTATATCCTGGAAGGTCCTTTTGAAAAAATAATCTTTAGAAAATCCACGTTTATATCCTGGAAGGTCCTTTTGAAAAAATAATCTATAGAAAATCCACGTTTATATCCTGGAAGGTCCTTTTGAAAAAAAAAAAATTTACAAAATCCACGTTTATATTCTGGAAGGTCCTATTGAAAAATTAATCTTCACAAAATCCACGTTTATATCCTGGAAGGTCCCTTTGAAAAATAATCTTTACAAAATCCACGTTTATATCCTGGAATTTCCTTTTGAAAAAATAATCTTTACAAAATCCACTTTTATATCCTGGAAGGTCCTTTAAAAAAACTTTGTCCACGTTTATATCCTGGAAGGTCCTTTTGAAAAAAAAATCTTTACAAAATCCACGTTTATATCCTGGAAGGTCCTTTTGAAAAAAATCTTTACAAAATCCACGTTTATATCCTGGAAAGTCCTTTTGAAAAAAATCTTTACAAAATCCAGGTTTATATCCTGGAAGGTCCTTTTGAAAAAAATCTTTACAAAATTCACATTTATATCCTTGAAGGTCTTTTTGAAAAATAATCTTTACAAAATCCACGTTTATATCCTGGAAGGTCCTTTTGAAAAAAATCATTACAAAATCCACGTTTATATCCTGGAAGGTCCTTTTGAAAAAATTTTTTTACAAAATCCACGTTTATATCCTGGAAGGTCCTTTTGAAAAAATAATCTTTAGAAAATCCACGTTTATATCCTGGAAGGTCCTTTTGAAAAAATAATCTTTACAAAATCCACTTTTATATCCTGGAAGGTCCTTTTGAAAAAATAATCTATAGAAAATCCACGTTTATATCCTGGAAGGTCCTTTTGAAAAAAAAAATTTACAAAATCCACGTTTATATTCTGGAAGGTTCTTTTGAAAAATTAATCTTTACAAAATCCACGTTTATATCCTGGAAGGTCCCTTTGAAAAACAATCTTTACAAAATCCACGTTTATATCCTGGAAGGTCCTTTTGAAAAAATAATCTTTACAAAATCCACTTTTATATCCTGGAAGGTCCTTTAAAAAAACTTTGTCCACGTTTATATCCTGGAAGGTCCTTTTGAAAAAAAATCTTTACAAAATCCACGTTTATATCCTGAAAGGTCCTTTTGAAAAAATCTTTTCAAAATCCACGCTTATATCCTGGAAGGTCCTTTTGAAAAAAAAAATCTTTGCCAAAATCCATGTTTATATCCTGGAATGTCCTTTTGAAAAAATAATCTTTACAAAATCCACGTTTATATCCTGAAAGGTCCTTTTGAAAAAATCTTTTCAAAATCCACGCTTATATCCTGGAAGGTCCTTTTGAAAAAATAATCTTTACAAAATCCACTTTTATATCCTGGAAGGTCCTTTAAAAAAACTTTGTCCACGTTTATATCCTGGAAGGTCCTTTTGAAAAAAATTTTTACAAAATCCACGTTTATATCCTGGAAGGTCCTTTTGAAAAAAATTTTTACAAAATCCACGTTTATATCCTGGAAGGTCCTTTTGAAAAAAATCTTTACAAAATCCACGTTTATATCCTGGAAGGTCCTTTTGAAAAAAATCTTTACAAAATCCAGGTTTATATCCTGGAAGGTCCTTTTGAAAAAAATCTTTACAAAATTCACATTTATATCCTTGAAGGTCCTTTTGAAAAATAATCTTTACAAAATCCACGTTTATATCCTGGAAGGTCCTTTTGAAAAAAATCATTACAAAATCCACGTTTATATCCTGGAAGGTCCTTTTAAAAAAATAATCTTTCAAAAAAATCCACGTTTATATCCTGGAAGGTCCTTTTGAAAAAAATCTTTACAAAATCCACGTTTATATCCTGGAAGGTCCTTTTGAAAAAAAATCTTTACAAAATCCACGTTTATATCCTGGAAGGTCCTTTTGAAAAAAATCTTTACAAAATCCACGTTTATATCCTGGAAGGTCCTTTTGGAAAAAAAATCTTTACAAAATCCACGTTTATATCCTAAAAGGTCCTTTTGAAAAAATAATCTTTACAAAATCCACGTTTATATCCTGAAAGGTCCTTTTGAAAAAAATCACGTTTATATCCTTTCTTTTTAAAAAATCTGTAAAAACCACGTTTATATCCTTGAAGATATGTCCTTAAAAATCCTCGAAGGCATGAAGATCCTTCGTAAAAATTCATACAAATCTAAGTCCATAGAGCAGAAGGTCCTTCTTAAAAAATCACAACAGACAGGTCCTTCATAAAAATTTCTTCAAAAATACATGCAGGTTCATAGAAATGGAAGTCTTTTATAAAAATGTTTAAAAATCCACTTCCATACATCTGGGAGTCCTTCATAAAAATTTACTTAAAAATCCACATCCATAGAACAGAAAGTCCTTCATAAAGTCCAGACACAATAGTCCAACGGATTGGTATCCGGAGATTTTGGTGGCCATTGTGCGCTGGAAATGAAGTGAGGAACCTCATATTTTGGTGCTGAGTCCTGTTGGAATGCGTGCCCAAGGCTTTAATATACCCTTCAAAATATTTTTGGTATAATATTCGGCATTTATTCTGATGCCACTGTCTATTAATACGAGCGGAGAGCGTCCATCGGCTGTTATGGCGGCCCACAACATCACCATGGCCGGCGCTTGAGTTCTGGTAGCCAACCAAATGTGCACATTTTCAGCTGACCTCTTTGGCAAGTAAACACGAGCGGATCATGTTGTTTGTTCTTGCACTTTTTGAAATTTCAACGGCCTTACCCCGAGCTCATTTTTTAATATTTGCCGAATGGACTATTGCGATATGCTCAGCTCACGAGCCATTTTTGGCCACTGCGCGTCTTTACTTTTCGAACTATTTCAGCTGATGTTGCTGTTTTGTTCCGTCCACTTCCTTGACGTTGGGCTACGCTACCAGTATCACGAGTGGTAACGAGCGATGGTACGAGACACAAAAGATTTATGCACATTTAAATGCTGGAGTGCTCTAACGATAGCCACTTGTGGTTTTCCAGCCAAATATAAAAAATCACACTATCACGCTTGAATTCACGAATAACTTTTATTTCTGGAAAATTCTCACCAAAATGCTTTTGTACGCTTGTAAACAATATAATGAGCTGTCACTGGAATAATTTTAACAGCTATTGGACGAGTGGCTTAGAAATGGCAGCGGTCTGTAATTGGTTGCAGTTTTTTTTTTTATCTCGCCCTTTATAGCCTCTCTAGCCATATGGCTGAGGGTTATTTTTGCGGGATAAAAAAATATTGTGAAATAATCCCAAAAAATAGAATCCATGTTGGGATGTCTGAAATGTTTTGTGCAATTTTAAAAAACACAATAAAACTAAATATACCTCATGTTGGGCGCCACTTTAATGTCTTCAACTTAAATTCAACTATTCTAGTAAACTTTAAACACAAGAAAATTTGAAGTTATAGTGCAATATAACATCAGTATTAAAGTCAAATAGTTTTGCAGCTCGATCATCCCTTCCCTATGGGCAAATGAACGAATCTCATGTTGGGCGCCATTTTAAAGTTTTTCTTAAGGGCTAAAAAAATATCGTAAATAAGTTCGAAATATTATTATATAAATTCATGTTGGGATTACTGGAATACAATTGAAATGTAGTCTATGTTCTGTGCAATTTTAATAAATTTAATAAAACTAAATGTATCCCATATTGGGCGCCACTTTAATGTCTTTAAATTTATATTAAACTTTTCTAGAAAAACTTCAATTAAAATTTTTAATTTTATTAGCAGCTTATATTTATTGATTTTTTTAATAAGCTACAATAAGTATACCTCACATTGGGCGCCACTTTATTTATTCAATTTACATAGTCATCTCTTCCAGCCATTATAAAATTGCATGAATATTATTTGTTAAGGAAATCTTGCCAAGTATAAAACAACCCAAATAAATATTTTGAGGAACACCATTTCTGGGTAAGCATTTTCCCTCGGGCGCCAACTACGCGAAATATAAATATATATATATATATTTTTTAATTTCCTAAAAGAGTGAGTGAGTGAATTTCGAAAAATGTGAATTATGACATAAGAAGTATAATTTAAATTACCACGTTGGGCGCCACTAAAAATTCCACTAAATATTTTTGGACTGAAAGGAAAACAAATACGTAAATTAGGACATAAGATGTATAATTTAAATTGCCACGTTGGGCGCCACTAAATATTTTGGGATTCAAAGGAGCTGAATATGGGTGAAAAATGTGAGGTTAT